TGTCTCGTCACCAAAATGCAGGGCAAAATTATGACATGAAGATAGGAAACAGATGTTTTGAAAATTTGGCACAGTTTAGATATTTGGGAACGACGATAACAAATCAAAACCTCATTCAGGAAGAAATTAAGAGGAGACTGAACTCTGGTAATGCTTGCTACCATTCAGTCAAGAACCTTTGGTCTTCTCGTCTGTTGTCTAGAAACATGAAAGTTAGAATATACAAAAATATGAATTTTCCTGCGCTTCTGTATGTGTGCGAAACTTGGTCTCTGATATTAAGGGAGGAACATAGACTGAGGGTGTTTGAGAACAGGGTGTTGAGGAGAATATTTGGACCGAAGAGAGATGAAGTGACAGGAGGTTAGAGAAAACTGCATAATGAGGAGCTTCATAACTTGTACTCTTCTCCAAGTATAATTAGAATGATCAAGTCAAGGAGGATGAGGTGGTCAGGACATGTAGCACGAATGGGGGAGACGAGGAATGCATATAGGATATTGGTGGGAAAGCCAGAAGGAAAGAGACCACTGGGAAAACCAAGGAGTAGGTTGTTGGATAATATTGAAATGGGTCTTAGAGAGATAGGATGGGATGGTATTGATTTGATTGATCTGGTTCAGGATAGTGACCAGTGCAGGCCTCTTGTGAACACGGTAATGAACCTTCGGGTTCCATAAAATGCTGGGAATTTCTTGAGTGGCTGCACAACTGGCCGTTTCTCAAGAAGGGTTCAGCTCCATGAAGTTAAAATTCAAAACAGTTCGAAGCCTATTTATTAGACTGTTCCATATCCAGTTTTGGGCCCAAATGAGAGAGTGTGCTTTCCTAATTTTCTGCAGTGTTCAACTATCTCCACGTAATTTTGCCTTACTTGTGAGTGTGAGATTTCGGAACGCGTTTTGTTCTAAGCCGCTTTTAAACTGAAGCCAGTTCTCTGGATTCAGCATTCCGAAAACTGGTGCTGATGAGCACAGCATACTCCTGTACTCAGAGGAAGAGCTGTACTTGCATGGAAGCATAATGTTAGATTACTACTAACTGATGGTCAAGCTACAAACCAAAGGGGACATAAACTAATTTTCGTTTAATAAAACAAAGAAAAAAGGAAAAAATATATGCAAAATGTGGCTCCATAAGATACTACTGCCCCAAACGCCCAGTTTTTTGTCTCTACTTTCGTACTTTGATATGAAACCAAGCACTAAAACAGTGCAATAACCACTCAGCAGAAATATCACACCCCCCCCCACAGGAAAGAAAAAAATCATTGGGAAACTCAACAACATACGAAAGGTGTGCAAGATTTGAATTTCTTATGGCGGTGACTATGAAGTTTACTGTTTCCTTGGATATGATATCGTACAGTCTGGTATATATTTACCAACATTTCTTCCTACACATGCTTATATCTATGCCACGTTTTCCATACACAGCTTCGAACCCTACTCTTGCATTCAAGAGGTGGCAAGGTGCTCCGAAAATTTGTACCGATTGTCTAGACGACAGGCACACGTATTGTCACACAACTGTAGATTTAAACATATATATTTGCAAATTAAAAATAAATGTATTGTTTTTTTTAATTATAGTATTTCGAATTTAATCAATAATAAAGAGAAATATTTCTAAAATTTGACAGTAATTATTTTATTTTACTGACAATATTATAAAAAGAAATATTCTAAAATTAAATTTAATATCCGAGAAAGGATATACGCTTTGGTTTGCTTTACAACGTGTTCGCTGCAGAAGTCAGCTGGCTGAATCGGAAAGTAATTTAGTAGCCACATAAAAACAACCTCTAGATGAATTTTACTTTATACATGTTGTTGGGAGTGACATATACGCAAGAAAGCTGTACGTTATGTATAAGACAATAAAATATAACATTGAAAGTAAACACATCCGGTACCTAGAGCAAAGCGATTTACTCACTGTGGAGTGTAGCAGACTTCCTGACACGCCACCACGTTGCAGACTGTCCAAGGGCGCAGTCTCCGTACACAAACCGTTCTTGCAGAACGCCCAAGGTTGACTACAGTGTAAATTACTGTTGCAAACTACGCTCAGCTGATATTGTAGGACATGCAACCGACCCCGGTAGTTCAAGAGGTAAACTATTCAACTCAGCTGTATAGGTTTACTTTAGGCCGCGCCATAGCTCAAGCGGTTAGTCTCTGGTTTCCCACAGCGGCGGCCCGGGTTCGATCCCGGGTCTGGTCAAGTGGGATTTGTGGTGGACAAAGTGGCGCTGGGGCGAGTTTTCTCCGAGTACTTCGGTTTCCCTTGACAATCTTCTTTCCACCAAATTCCCCATTCTCATAATCACTCGGGGCAGGCTACAATAGGCCAATCAGTGGCCGCCGTGCCGAGTGGACACAGTTGGAATGGAGTTGGGAAGATAATTTGGGAATATGAAGATACGAAAGTTTTGACAGACCAAATCCTCATCCTAATATAGATCAGTACATAGGCGATGAAGACCACCTCTGTGGTCTAGTGGTCAGAGTTCCTGGCTATATATTCAGAGGTCTCGGGTTCGATTTTCGGCCCTACCAGATTTTCTGAGACGTAGTGGGTCTGGAACGGGGTCCACTCAGCCTAGTGAGGATAATTGAGGAGCTGTTTGAAGGAAATAACGGCTCCGGTCTCGAAAAGAGTAATTAACGGCCTTGGGGATTTGTTGCCTTGACTACGCGACACCCGCTATACGCTAAATTTGGCACTAACTTCGCAGACAAACGGCGGTTGCTCGGTCGGTATAGTTCGCCTGCGGACTAAAACCAAGGAGTTGTATAGGCAATGAGATTTCCCAAAAAGATTCTGAACTGTACACATATTTTGGCAAGATGCTGGTAACAGTTCGTTCAGGAAGCCTCATCGGGGTTCACAAATAAATCCAGTCATCCGAGCTACAACCCGTTATTTTCGTCACGATTGCCGCCCTACATTTTGACAATATCATTTTGGACCGGAAGTCTGCGTAGCTCTGATAGGAACAGTTGTGATCATTGCGACGGGGTTCTTCCAGAGGAACTTCTCCAAAACTTTGACAATTTTAAAAAATTGAGACCATCGGGGGCACCAGAATTCTTTCCAAGGGAGAAGGGCAACTGTATTCTGAAGAGGAGACTACCAGGCAATTTCCTTACAAACTCATGTTAAGACTTTTAAGCGCAGAAGAATAATTAAGAACAAAATAATTTTTTTGAAAAATTTTTGACATATATCCTTTTTCCCCCTTAATTTTTATTTTCCCAAAAATACTCAAGAGAGGCGAAAAAATCCTTCTCTTGCCCACTCCCCCCTGCTCTGCCAGCGCCGATGGCTGATAAGCACTATCTTTGCACACTTTATGTTTAAGATTTCAGCGGAGTTTCACTCATTTCGTCCCTTGTAGCGATTGGTCTCTCAGGCAGACTCCAGAACTTCTGACCATGTCCGAAAGTCTGAGCATCAGCCAGTGTCTCTGGTAATCTTTGGTGCAGAGTTTCTGGCAGAAACAGTGCTGCCACCATTCCAGTTGCGGACACAATGCCAATTATTACGTACGGGTACCGGACATCGTATGTGTTGCCCTGAAATCCATTTGTAATTTATGTAATTTATATAATATTTTATTTAATACATGTTAAATTTTACTGAGGTGATTTATCTTCCATAAAAAACACCGTGGTGTTAGTCCGCAAGAGAATTATACCGACCAAGCGACCGCCGCTTGTCGGCGAAGTTAGTGCCAAATTTAGAGGTTGGAGGGTGTCGCATGATCAGCGCAACGAATCTCCACGGCCGTTAATTTCGTTTTTCTAGACCGGAGCTGCTATTTCCTTGAAATGTCTTCTCAATTATCCTCAAGAGGTATCTCCCTGTCATTGCTAGGCAACGGTCAGGTAAAAATGATACTGCGACAAAGAATACACAGGCAACAATAGAATAATTATTGGACGTGTCGCTTTATATGCAGTCCATGTATTTAAAAGCAAAATAAGCGATTAGTTCTTCCCATAATTTACAGATGCATTATTAATATTGAATTTAAAGGTAATATCTATGCAGTCGTGGACACGTGGTAACGAAATTGGTTGAGACACTAAGCTATAAGACAGAAGGTCGCTCGTTCGAGGCCCGATATGGTGGATTTTTTTTTTTTAATTTACCTAATCCCTCCAGCCGCACTATTGCCCTGGGTTCGACTGAGCCTGCCTCTAAGGAAAATGAGTATTATGAATCCTCCTGGGGGGCAAAGGGTAGCCGGAGCGAAAGGTTGACAACCTCACTGCCATCTGTGGACCGATTATCTAGAAAACTGAGAAACTTGACGTCTCACAGCTCTATGGGCCTGCACGGTCTGTTACAGGGATACCTTTACTTTTTTATCTAGTGCAGTAAATTCAATCAGTAAATAGCCATAATGGCCAGTATGTTTCTACCGTTACTGATCATCCTCAAGGACATGCAGAAAGTTATAAAAGGAAATTGTATACGAATAATTTAAAACTTCTTTTAAAACAATATAATTTAAAATCATAATAATATGAATTGAAGGATTTGAAGTTTTCACACCAGTGGTTATTAATAGTTCTATTTTATGGGACATAACGCTTTGTAATCCGTTGAAAATCAACCGACGTTTCGGAGGAAGATATCATATCCACCATCAGATTTGAATAATAAGCCAATTCCTCAAGCATATGACAGGATCCAGTGGCTGGCTATTGTGAATATGGTGATGAACCTTAAGTTTTCATGGCGAGTATTGCTTGTCTAGCCACTATTAACGCGTGACAATTACTCTGTATAATGTAGTTTGTTACTAATAAAACAAGGCTTCTTGGCGACCCAGTAATTGGTACTATCCACAGCTTGAACCGTTCTACAAAACCGAAATTATCGGTCTTGGGAATCTGTTGCACTGATCACGCGACACCCTCTATCCGCTAAATTTGCACTAACTTCGCCGACAAGCAGCGGTAGCTCGGTCGGTATAGTTCGCGTGCGGACTAAAATCACGGACTTTGTTTTATCCACAGTTTGAAAAAGAAAATACTGTAGCCGGTGTGCGCATACTTACAAGGTAGACGATGTAGGGCCCCAAAATCCCCATACTGCTACCCAACACAGCCCCAAGCGACGTGCCTGTCTGGCGTACGCACGTGGGGTACGTCTCCATGGCAACCAAGTGAATCACGTAGAACGTGATTGTGAAGCAGAATTTTACGAACACAACCGTGCAAGTCGTGAGCCAAACCAGGTCGGGCTCTGAAAGGATCACAAAATATTCTAAAGGGTTCTGATGATGGTGGACGACACACAGAATTACTGAGGTTTTGGACTTTTTCAAACATCCGGAATTCGGGGTAATAGAGGGTATGACGTTTCAGAAACTGGATCTGTTTCCGTCTTCAGATGAGGAAGAAAAACATACTCAGTTGGGCCCCTTTGAAAGAGGTAATCTCAACCACTTGACAACTCCTGTCAGATTTACCCAGCTATTTCATCATATAAGCCTAGGCTAGATCAGTAGGAGATAACAAGAAAACATAAAATAAAAATTGTGATAGAGCAGGCACATGCGTGGAAGTAGGATAGAAAAGTAGGTAGAAATTTGTGCTAGAAACCTAGCTGACAAAAGCAAGTGCATGAGCACCAATGCGAAGAAATTTGAGGGAGGGGGGATTATGAATATATGCAATACTACCATTAGTGCCATCTGTGGAGTAAAGCCAGGGTAAATCTGACAGGAGTTGTCTGGTGATTGAGATTAACTCTTTCTAAGGGGCCAAACTGAGTAGGTGTCTTCCTTTCTTACCTGAAGACGGAAACATATCCAGTTTCCGAAACGTCGTGTCCTCTATTACCTAGAATTCCTGAGGACGAAAAAGTCCAAAACCCCAGTAATTCTGTATCACGGAATATGTTGAAACTGTGGATACCCACTCGTACTACTGCTTCTACCTAATTGCTTCTTCTTGACTGGCGCTACAACCCTGTGTGAGTCTTGGCCTCCTCAACTACTCAGTACATTTCATCTAGTCGCAGCAGTTCGACCTGTCTGGCATGGGTGGCTCTACGAAGAGCTTATGCTACCGCCAGAATAGCTCTTCCGGTCATTGGGGTACTCAAATTTCCTCTTCAAGAAAAGGCGATAGTTCTCGAGGACTGCTCCTAATCTTACTACAACTATTACTACTACTACTACTACTGATAATAATAATAATAATAATAATAATAATAATAATAATAATAATTCAGTTATTTGTTGATCTGGATGCTGNCCTTGGATGGACCTTGGTCGCGTTATCAGTTTCTTAATCTATACACAGTCAATAGGACTCCTTGGACGGGGTATCAGCCTGTTGCAAGACCTCTACCTATATACAGAATAGACGCACACATACATTCATGCCTGTAGAGGGATTCGAACCCACGATCCAAGTGTTGGAGCGGGGGAAGACGGCTCATGTCTTAGTCTGCTCGGCCACTTCACGAACTGCCGTTCCAAAATACTCAGAGCTATTCACCCGCCTCTCTGGCCGCCGATGCGGCGGTACGTTCTCCCTCAACCTGTCCGGGGCAGCTACTCACGTCCTACAATGCAGATCACGACGATAACGGCCAGGATGAGTGCCAGGAACAGCACAGCCTGTGTCCAGCGGCGGCCGAAACGGTCCGAGAGGTACTTCCCCACTACGTAGCCAGGAAGTTCCACCAGAGACTGCCAGAAGAAGTTCATGAAGGGGTTGCCTTCCATGTTGCTGACATTCAGCATCAGCGTGTAATACGTCATGGAGTTTACAACCCTGTGAAAGAGTACCACAGACATCGCGTAAAACACGTCTCTCCGACCAATATCTGCTTAATTTCCTTACATTAACGCAGCTTCTAGTGTCTAGATTATGTAATGTCAGAAGATGGAATGAATTGGAAAGGAGTTGGAAGGAGTTGGTTGCGGCATTTACCAGGAGGGAGTAAAGAAGATCACGAAAAACCCAGTCAGGATAGTTTGTTTCCTGGCTGTGATTCAAACCGAGCGTCTCCCACGTGCAATTCTACGCTGTTACTGCTTTGACATCCAGTTCGTTCATCCATACATCCGTGAAATCATCCGAAAACCCGTTCATCCTCCCATGTGGGTAGCTGTCGAACCGTTCATATATATTTCTTTTATTGCTAGTGGGTTGGGACTAAATCCCCTGTACTGCGGCCACTTCTGGCCTATTGTACCAGCCCCAGATGATAGGTGAGGGTGATTGTGGAGCAGTTGGTGGAATGAAGATTGGCAAGGGAAACCGAAGTACTCGGAGAAAACCCGCCCCAGCGCCACTTTGTTCACCACAAATCCAATTTGACCAGACCCGGGATTGAACCCGGGCTGCCGCGGTGGGAAGCCAGCGACTATCCGCTTGAGCTATGGAGCGGCCCACCGTTCATATAACTACATACTTAAGCACTTTCTCATTCACACATTCAAATACATAAATAAATACAAGCAACACAGCCATTCTTGAGAAGCTGGTAGTCGCTCAGCTGAGCAAGAAGTATTTCACCTTTCATGGAACCTGTCAGTTCTCCAATATAATTAAATAAGTAACCATTTGTAACCAAGCTTTGTCATGAGGAGCTGATGTTTCTCAGCCGGATAATAAATTCCCTGCCCTTAACTGAACCTGAAGATTTGTTACCACAGTCTCAGTCTCTTTGCACTCGATATTACCGTGAATTTCATTAACGCGGTGCACATAAACGTAGTTTTCATCGAAATCCATCTGAATGTTATCCTTTTTCTATGTCAAAACCTCGCAAATAGTCACTCTTAGAATTCACGAGGGGGTTCGCGGTAGAGTAGTTGGTTGAGGCACTATGCTACAAGCTGGAAGGTCGCGGGTTCAAGTACCGATGAGTTCATTTGATTTTTTTTTCAGTTGACCTGATCCTTCCGGTCGCACTATGGCCCTGGGGTCAACTCAGCCTCTAACAGAAATGAGTACCAGGAATATTCTTGGGGGTAAAGAGAGGCCGGCGCGTAGGGCTGACAACTCTGTCGACGTCTATGAGCCGATTGTCTATATAATGTGGGAACCTCAACGTCTCACAACCCCATGGGCCTTAACGGCCTGTTACAGGGATAGCTTTATTTTTACTAGAATTTACGAGCAATATACTGGACGTATTTACATGCATCCCACCCGTTAAGTAACTAGTTCGTGATATATAAAAATTAAATAATTTAAAATATTGACAGAGAATTTTAATTAAGTAATTAAGTGGATTAACAAGTAACTTACTGGGCTACTAAACAGATACATAAGTAAATGTATAAAGGAATGACCAAATAAATAAACAAACATAAACTGACTGGATGAATAAACGAGTAACCGCCTAAATAAATAACTGACCAATAAAACAAATGAATAAGAAAGTAACTGACAGGAAAATAAATAACTAAGTAAATAAACCTTTATTTAGGAGTAATTCACGTAAATAAATGTGTAATTCATTGGATAAATAAATGAGTAAAAAGTAAAGCTGTCCTGTGTTTAACTAATGTCATGAAGGCGTATAGGAGAGTGGATGTTTAGGTCCACTCATTCTTGACCTCAGCACTAGTTGGAGGTGAGTGCTCAGCTTCATGTCCCGGCCGCTTTACCTCCAGAGGAAGAGCCATCAATACTCACTGAATATGGGGCTGTGTGAGCCCCAGAACCTGTTCGAACTACATGGAGAGGTGAAAATTCTTGACCCTACCGGTAATCGAACTCTGATCCCTCGGTCTTCCAGCCGGTAACCAGTCGCTATACATACTGCGCTTAACTTGGTTCCTTATATATGAGTAAATTAAGCCAATTAAAGAAATAAATTTTTAATTGACCAGAAATATAATTAAAAATTACATAATCCACTGACTCTGCAAGTAAATAAAAAAGGTATACGTAATGGATTGAATAAATGAGCAAATAAATTATAACTGATCAAAAAATAATAATCAAAATTAAAAGTTATCTGGCTAAGTGAAGAAATATGTAATTGACTGAGTACGTAAATAAACGAATAATTGATTTGCGAAATAATTAGATAATTAAATGGAACCGAGTGACAGATCAGCTGCAGAATACTTCATAGTGATATACAGAACTTGATACCTCTTTTTATAAGAAGAATATGCAATATAGACGCTTACACAACAATATACTTGACACAGCATTTCAATACATCGCTCAATGTGCTATCGATATATCTCGATCCACACTTAACATTTTTACAAGAAGAATTTCATGAAACGTATCTGATTTTGACTAAATTTAGCATAAACTTCTTTCCCAATACACCAAAAGTTTACGGATAAAATATAGCATCATGTTCTTCACGCTTGAGGAGAAAGAAACAATAACATTTCTAAATTTCTAAGCCTTACAAGATTAAAATTTCTTTGCTACAACCGTGTCACCTGCCTCTGACCTCGAGGAACTCACCACAAGTAGACTATTAGTACTGTGTTCTTCGCTAGTCGCCAATTGGAGAACAGGCTCGGTAGACCGTAGACTCTCTCCTTCTTTGCTGCAATTTTCTGTAATGTGATCATCGTGTCGTCTGGCAGGGCGCGTTCATTCGTTCTCGCTATCCGGCGCAGTTCTCGGGCACATTTCACTGTTCTTCCCTTCGCTGCAAGCCATCTTGCAGATTCGGGGAACCACCTGGAAGCATAGAGCCTTCGGAATTGGTAAACTGAAACCCATGGAGTCATTCAATTCTGTATGGATCCTTCTCAACAACAGTTTTGGTCAGTTACTTTTTATCTCAGCCGATACAGTGACGGGCTGGACGACCGGGGTTCATTCCAAAGCAAGGGAAGATATTTTTCTTTACCCCACAGCGTCCAGACAGACCCTTGGGCCGATTTAGTCTCCTATCTTTCTCTCCGGGTGTAAAGCGGAAGAGGCGTGAGGCTGATTACTCACCTCCAACAGGTGGCATCATGAATGGTTGAAATGTACCTCCACTCCCATATGTCTTAATGATGTGGCATTTAATTAATTAAATACAGCGACGGTGATCTTATTAGAAATAAATTGTACCACAATTGTATAATATATATTTTCAAAAGGCTTTGGAAAAATGTGGCCTTGACCTATTCAAAGTGATATTCCGGCATTTACATGGAGGTAACCATAGCCAGGTTAGCCAATACCGCAGCCGAAATAAGAATTCAGTACCTCCCTAATATAAGTCTAGAGTTTTACCGTTATACCAACCTGTCTTACACAAACACACTCACATTCACTCACGCGCGCACATTCGCATACTCTCACGCTCACATGTGCACTCACACTCATGCTAAAACACACTCACGCGTACACACATACTCAAGCATACACAATCACATTCACGTGGGCGCACACAATCACACATATTCACGTGCGTGCACACTCGCACAATCTGACGCTCACATGTGCACTCACACAAGCACTCACGCTCATACACACTCATTCTCACATACACACTCACGCTCACACAATGATATTCACGCACTCAAACACACACTCACATGTGTATTCACACACACTCACACAAACACTCAAGCTCATACACACTCATACTCACTCACACAATCACATTCACACACTCACTTACACATACTCTCGCACTTTTATATGAACTGGTGTTACCTCAGTTAAGAATTGAACGGTAAATGTCATCATTTGTCAATTCAAGTTTACATGCTATTAACGTCCCCTGCTTCCTGGCGTATCCATTTTCAGTCCTACACGTTATCGAAAAGTACTTCGAGACCAACGCACAAATAACCTGCCATAAACACTCTACTTCACGCCGTATAATACAATTTATAGTATATCTACATAATAATATTATTAGCAATCAAATAATAGACGCGATACGCTGATTCAAAAGACTGCTGACTCTTTCATGACCTGATACATAATTTGCGTTCATGCAAATTGTTACGTTCGAAAATTCGTTGCTGTGGTAACATGAAACTGGCCAATGAGAATTATCTTTATTGGATATATGGGCGGATAAATCCACGACAGAATTCAAATGAGTTCCAAATCAAAGGCCGACGTTTCGGCTGTGCTGCTACTAACTTGTAGGCCAAGAAGAACACGGCGCACGGCGCTGAGGTGATGATGAGGAAGGCGACCCAATCACCTGTTGCCCAGGCAACCATGGGCATGAGGCACACACCAACCGTCCAACCCAGGCACTGCAACATGGCTATGTGGGCCCTCTTGTCTGCAGCAGACATCTCCATGCCTGGAATTGAGAGATGCAATTGTTCTGACTGAATGTATACAAGAAATATTTGTATCGCTTCACTTACTTTTATATAATTATGGTTTACCTAACGAAGTAGCTCAGATTATGTTCCGTCTAATAATAAAATATACAAAACAGAGGCACGTGGTAGAGTAGTTGATTGAGGCACTATGCTACAAGCCGGAAGGTCGCGGGTTCAAGTCCCGATGAAGCCATTGGATCTTTTTTCAATTGACCTAATCCTTCCAGCCGTAGTATGGCCCTGGGGTCGACTCAGCCTCTAACAGAAATGAGTACCAGGAATATACTTGGAGGTAAAGGGCGGCCGTTGCGTAAGTCTGACAACTTCACCGTCATCCATGAGTCTGTTTTCTAGATAATGTGGGAGCCTCAACGTATCACAACCCTATGGGCTTGCACGGCCTGTTACAGGAATACTTTTACTTACTTTTTTTTTTACTTTTATCCCTATAACAGGCCGTGAAGGCACATACGGTTGTGGAACGTCAAGGCTCCCACATTTTCTAGACAATGGCTCACAGATGGTGGTGAGGTTGTCAGTCTTATGCGCCGGCCGCCCTTTATCCAAGGAAGATTCCTGATACTCATTTCTGTTAGAGGCTGAGTTGACCCCAGGGCCATAGTGCGGCTGGAAGGATTAGGTCAATTGAAAAATTCAATGACCTCATCGGGAATCGAACCTAGCGGCTTTCCGACATGTAGCATAGTGCCTCAACCAACTACGCTACCGCGTGCCTCTCAGTCTAACGCAGGATGATTGCTAAAAACTGAATTGGAAAGGGTTTGGAAGGAAGCGATTAGATATCATTTGAACCACTATACAAACATGCCTCTGGAGGGACTGAGGAAGACCCCGAAACCTAGCTGGACTTGTAATCTAACGCCTTCTGAATACATATCAGCAGATTTGCCGCTTTAGAGAATCCATGTAGTGTTCAAATTCCACTGAGATATGTAGAGACTTGTGTAAGGTAAAGCAAACTTCATTTGTGTTTAAATAATTAAGAGGCAACACTTGAATGCGTATGGGGATTGGAGGTATAGTTCCACCATTCTTGTCAGTTCAACCCTCTTGTCGCATTATTTCCCAGGAAATAGCCCCGATACCCATTTTATGGAGACCTCGTCTGGGGCTGTAGAGAAAGGAAGCATTTTTGTCCAGACGGGAATCGAACCCCGGTCATTCAGTCCATATGTCGTTGTACCGAGAAATATGTCCAGTTAAAATATAATAAATTCAAAATAAGCTTCGGAAAAAACGCCTACATTACTTCAAATATTTCGAACCGTAAGGTGAGACTACTAAGAGCTATAAAACTGATGTATTGGATTCATGGGTTAAAAGTTTTCTATATACTGTAATACATTCACACATTAAACTAACCTCTACTATAATGACACCCGCATAAGGGAGGAATATTATTAAGGGATATTCGTTGCAGCTAGGAGGAATACTGCATGACAAGTAAATGTGTGCGCAAAATATTTTTATTGAATTATTAAAAAAAAAAAGAATAAATAGTCTTTAAAATTTTTACTAGTTAGATGAACATTTTGAATATGTTGGACACTAAAATTTTTCTCGATTTTGTTTAAAAACATGAGCGGGTAATATTGGTTTCAGCGGATCGTGCCTATTATGTATTTACTAATAATATTCTGATGTTGATATCTGAAGTGTGGCGTAGTGTATCAGATATTCGATAGGATTTACAATTGAATATTTGTTAATATTATTCGTGGGAGATGGCGTTAAATTCGGTCTCGACGCATTATTCGATAAATGCAGAACTGGAATGAATACTGGAGAAGGCAAGGGAAGTTCAGAGTACGAGTAACGAAATATGAGGCCTCCTGTTGAATTCTCGACAGATGTTTATTGTTTGTCTTGTATGTACTCGCCCGGGGCCCTAAGGTTTCAGTCATTAGTTGCACCTACCCAGTACGAGAGGGCTCTGGAATGCTGCAGACTGAGAAACGCTGCCCAGAACTGTGACCGCTAGGAAAAGGGGGTAGTTGTTGGCAGTGAACACTGTCAAGCACCTCCCCGCTGCCAGCAAGAACAGGGTTACGAAGAACACAGGTCGTCGTCCAATTCTGGAACACACATAAACACAATTACAACACGCGCACAGGCAGGAAATTTACGACTATCTCAAGGCTTATTCTGAGATTTTTGACGTCGCTACACACAAACACACACACATGAACACACATATAAACACACGCAAACAAACAAAGGAATAAACACACACAAACACACACTCAAGCAAACACACACACATAATCACACATGCAAACAAATAAACAAACAAACAACACACACACCCACACACACATGAACACACAACACACACATAAACATATACAAATAAACACACACACAAACGCAAACACACACATGAACACACACAGAAATACACACACAATCTCACTCGCAAACAAACAAACAAACAAACACACACAACACATACACAAATATACACATATAAACACACACAAACACACATACGTGTATATAAGAACACTGGATTCACTAGATATTCGCAGCAAGCAGCAGAAGGAAAGCGGCCTCCGTAGTCTAGAGGTAACGTTCCCACCTCATGACTCGTAGTACGCGGGTTCAAATACCCGGCGGAAGTCGTCGAATTTTTAAGGGCGGAAAAATTCAGGGAACAAGTCCTCCGGGAGGGACTTTAAGCCGTGGGTCCCGTGTCGTAGCTTTGCGGCACGTAAAAGAACCCCATATCTCCGAAGGAAGTCACTGAGCCAAATTACGGACGTTTCCCACCCAACAGCAGTCTCTAATACCTCTGGTAGATGGGGGAAGCATTACAGATACCTCTCAGCTAGTAGAGCCGGTCTCGCTGGCTGGGCGGGACTGATGGTAAGCACCAGTACCGGTAGGATATAGAGAGTGGTAGAAATCATAGAAGGAAGCACAATGGACCAATACAGGTCTAAGTGCATGGGGAAACCCACCCTCTTCAATAACTAACTAACTAACTAAGCAGCAGAAGGAGGAACATGCAGTAAAACACGTCCGCTCACTCCGAGCGCTCGAGCAATAATGATAATGATAATAATATTAATTCTTTTTTATTTATGTGCCGAGTCAACAGCCGCAAGGCCAGTTACAGACGCCGCACAGTGTAGGTACAGGTGATTACATTATGGACAAACATTACATAAAGTCAAAGAATAATTAGAGGCAAGCACAGGAGGAAACAACACATTAATACAGAAAGTAAACAAAAAACAAACGAAGATGAGGAGTAGAACAAGGGCATGATAAGCATAATAACTAGAATATAATAATATAATTAAGTGAAAAGAAAAGTAACTTACGCATCTCCCAGCTGTCCGAAGACGAAGGTCCCTAGGACATCCCCCGCTCTGCTGACCACAAATGTGTTGGTCACGTGAAGCTCCCTGTCGCAGACCCAGTCCTCTTGAGTTACCACTGTCCTGGTATACCACGTGCGGTCGTAGTCCCAACCATGCTGACAATCTGACCATTATATTGTATTACATGGCGTAGATGGGTGGATAATATTAAAATGGATCGTAGAGAGATAGAAGAGGATGGCATGAGTTGGATTGATGTGGCTCAGGATAGGGACCAGTGGAGGGCTCTTGTGAACACGGTAATGAACCTTCAAGTTCCATAAAATACTACTGGGAAATTCCTGAGTAGCTGCAGAATTGGCGGCTCCTCAGGAAGGGCTCAGTTTCATGAGTAAGTAAGTAAGTACTGGTCGCGCCATAGCTCAACCTAAGTCGCTGACTTCCCATCACGGCGGCCGGGTTCGATCCCGGTTCTGTGAAAGTGGGATTTGTGGTGGACAAAGTGGCGCTGGGGCGGGGGTTTTCTCCAAGTACTTCGGTTTCCCTTCTAATCTTCATTCCACCAAATTATCCACCATCATAATCACCCTAGGCAGGCTACAATAGGCCAATCAGTGGCCGCTGTGCCGAGTGGACCCAGTTGGACTCCCCCCCAAGCGAATTTAAAAAAAAAAGTAAGTACATTATATTATATTATATTATATTACGTTATATACATGCGCAAGGAATTTATATTACAGTAAACATAGAATCCAACATACCAGTTACGCAACTGAGAAACAACACAATTTTCCTTTTAATTTCGTGGGGTGGAGTACAACTGGATTCACTCGGCACGTCGGCCATTGATTGGCCTATTGTACCAGCCCAAGATGATAGGTGAGGGTGATTGTGGNCTCCAAGTACTTCGGTTTCCCTTCTAATCTTCATTCCACCAAATTATCCACCATCATAATCACCCTAGGCAGGCTACAATAGGCCAATCAGTGGCCGCTGTGCCGAGTGGACCCAGTTGGACCCCCCCCCAAGCGAATTTAAAAAAAAAAGTAAGTACATTATATTATATTATATTATATTACGTTATATACATGCGCAAGGAATTTATATTACAGTAAACATAGAATCCAACATACCAGTTACGCAACTGAGAAACAACACAATTTTCCTTTTAATTTCGTGGGGTGGAGTACAACTGGATTCACTCGGCACGTCGGCCATTGATTGGCCTATTGTACCAGCCCAAGATGATAGGTGAGGGTGATTGTGGAGCAATTTCTGGAATGAATATTGGCAGGGGAGACCGAAATACTCGAAGAAAACCTGTTCAGCGGAAATTTGTCCACCACAAATCCCACTTGACCCGACTCGGGCTCGAATCCGGGCCACCGCGGTGGGAAGCCAGCCATAAACCGCTTGAGCTATGGTACAGCCTTAAACGCTGAGTAATTTTAGTAACCGACTGAATCCTGAATAAGCAGAAAGTATGGGATGGTTTACCAAACCAGTCCTCTGCACAAAAGACACCTAAGACCTGAACAGTGCGTACATATATTCAGTAGTACGTAGAATGGTGCTCACCTATGACCTGAGGCACTGTGCCATTCATCTCCGCCGATTGCAGAAGCGTCGTTGTGTTCAGTGGCACACTTATGTTGTACATTTGGCATTTGCTGAATGCTTGTTTGCCAATCTCATTCGTTATACTGAAAAAGTTACATAAAGTTGGATAAAACAACAAAGCAAGAATAAACCGTCATTATCCGAAACCCCAGTGTCACAGATTTCTGAACAAATACCTCAAATTTATCAACAATACTTTTGTGTAACCTTCCGCCATCTGCTGTCCGACGTGCGAACTCTTTTGTCTCCCTTACGGTGGCTCTACGAAGTTTTTCTCTAAAACGTTAGGAATTAACCACCAACTAAGGCCGCGCCAAAGCTCAAGTGGTTAGTCGCTGGATTCCCACCGCGGCGGCCCGGCTTCGATCCCAGTTCTGGTCAAGTGGGATTTGTGGTGGACAAAGTGGCGCTGTGGCAAGTTTTCTCCGCGTGCTTCGGTTTCCCCTGTCAATCTTCAATGCACCAATTGTTACACAATCACCCTCACCTATCATCTGGGACTGGTACAATGGGCCAGAATTGGCCGCAGTACAAGAAACTTAGTCCCACCCCACTAGCAATAACAAAAAAGATTCAGTCAATAAACAAAATAAGTAGCCTGTAGTTTATCTCATGTGGAGAGATTGTCACGGTTATTCGGAAATTCTCAGGCCGCAACTGCAGGAGTCTGGTACGCAACCCAGGACCCGATACTTAAATAAAATCTATATACTCTACGAACTCGGTTACGTCATATTGTGTATAGCCAACCTTACAGAAGAAAATTCCTATAGATATATGAATTTCCCATCGTCGCATAAATATCAGAAGCATGTATAAAATAAGATATAGTAACTATCTTATTATGATGTAAATGTCTACGTCACTATGTGACGATGACGCAGCACCGTTCCTTAAGTAGATGAAGTTTAAACTTCAACTGCTTACCTGGGTATCGTAAGGTTTTTCCATTCTCCTTCACTTAACGTCGTTCCATTTCTTCCCGGAACATGGCACCAATGTTCAGGTATTGTCATGGCTAACACCAAATTGAGATATGGCATAGCCAAAAATATAACGAATATCAGATTAAATACGATGTTAAACCTCGATTGATATTTTCCGTTTAAACCTATACGAGCCATTAGCTCATCAAACAAAGCGTCTTTGTTTACTTCCCCCGATCCAGTCAGAATGGACAAAGGAATTGAATTCTCGGTCGCCATTTTGAAGATTCAACTTGAAGCCATTTGCTATCGGCACTAGTTCACTTTCCACGCTTCTATTGATGTAATCCAAAACTTATCACCTACCGGCATATCACACCACTACCACAATTCTCACTTAATGCCAATAACATTCCAGCTATCAAATATTAAAAACAGTTAACACTGATATGACGCAAGGAATTCTGGTCCGTGACTACGTCATCTTCCTCGGAACACGTGCTCTTCTTTTCTGCAGCACATCTCAACTGCAGTCTCCTGCCTACTCATAATAAACATTGCATTTATTGTCCTGCTGATTAAGGTTACCTATCACTTTCTTGCTTCCTGTTTCTGCAGTATTAGATAACGCACCTTATGTGAGGTGCTGACATATCAAGATTGTAGACAATACCAGCGTAACACAGTCGAGAATTCAACGGAAATTTTCCCATATAAGCTTTCGTATTATTAACTTCCAGGCACGCGGTAGCGTAGTTGGTTGAAGCACTATGCTACAAGCCGGAAGGTCGCGGGGTCAAGTCCCGATGAGGTCATTGGATTTTTTTTTTCAATTTACCTAATCCTTCCGGCAGCACTGTAGTCCTGGAGTCGACTCAGAAATGAGTACCAGAAATTAATTAAATAATTTTCCTGGGCAGTAAAGCGCGGCCGGACATGTACTGTCTTCGCTCGCTTGGAAACTGGGATCGTGGGTTCGAATCCCACTCAGGGCATGGATGTTTAGTTTGTGTGTGCTTGTTTCTGTGTTTGTGTACAGGTAGAGGCCTTGCGACAGCTGATTACCCGCCCAAGGAGTCCTACCGAATGTGTAAGATCTAGAAAAACCGAAGTGAACGGAGAAGTTCATGGAGGTAGGCCTAGGACCACTGGGGCTGTAGTGCCAAGGGAGAAAAAAAGCGCGGCCGGAGCGTAAAGCTGACCTTATCGCCATCTTTGAGTCGATTGTCTAGATAATGTGGGACCCTCAACGTCCCACAACCGTATGGGCCTCCACGGGCCTCCACAGGGATAGCTTTATTTTTTACTCCTAACTTCCATTTCTTTCATTTGCATTTGTCACTTGCAATCCTACATGTTATCGAATGATGCGTCGAGGCCGAGATTAAACGCCATCTCCCACGAGTAACTCTCCGTGGATTTAGTCCGTACGCGAAATATACCGACGGAGCAATCGCCGCTTCTCGGCGAAGTTAGTGCCAACTTTAGCGGATAGAAGGTGACGAGTGGTCAGCGCAACGTAGTCCCACGGCCGTTAATTTCGGTTTTCTAGACGGGAGCTTCTATTTCTTTGAAATATCTCAACAATTATCCTCCGACGAGTAACATGCATGAATAATCAATTGTAAATCGTCTTCGTTGTATAAGTTATACTTCATTTATCCACGTCAGGATATTATTAACACTCGCACAATGGACACGATATACTGACTTACATTCATCCAAGGTATAAAAGCTTGGCAATTCGTTTTTATGATAACCTGAAATTGCGTAACTTCTGAGCGTTAATCTCCCAGTTACTCTACTTTTTATATATATGGAGCGAGTTGTTTAAAGAAGAGCTTTGCGTGAGACAAGATACTATATAATGCTGGATTTATTAGTATATTAAGTGAGATAATGTCACCAAAATCTTTAGAAAATCCTTTCGAAACCATTATCTCTGATTATTCCAAGATTCTGCACAATTTATATTACTGATTAATGATTATCATGGAGGGGGCACGCGGTAGAGTAGTTAGTTGAGGCACTATGCTACAAGTCGATAGGTGGCGGGTTCGATTCCTGATGAGGTCAATAGATTTTTTAAATTGATATAATCCTTCCAGCAGCTCTATGGCCTTGGGATCGATTCAACCTCTAACAGAAATGAGTACCAGGAATTATCCTGGGGGTAAACGTGCGGCCGGCACGTAAGGCTGACCTCACCGCCATCTGTGAGCCGACTGCCTAGAAAATGTTAGAGCCTCGACATCAAACAACACTATGAGTCTTCACGGCCTGTTACAGGGAACAATTTTAATTTTTATCTTACCGAAAGTCATGGCTTTACAAAGTAATGTTCCATTCCATAAAATTTAATGCATTTACTCTCTAGCCATTTTCTCAGTGGTCCTCAGACTATTAGTTTCTTCATTATGCTAGGTATATTCATCCTTTTAAGGTTGGACTAAAATTATAGGTGAAAAGTAAATTTGTCTCTGTGCTTATTTAATTAAGCACCAAGACATGAAGACGAATGGAAGACAGAAGATATATGTCTAATATTCTTGACCTAGGCACTAGATGGAAGAAAGAGGTTAGATCATACTCAGATTGATCTATCTCCCGAAGTTAGAGCCATCTGTACTCGCTGGATAAGAGGCTGGGTGAACCACCGAGCCCAGTTGATACGTTTCCTTGATGTGTGTCCTGCTGAGCACATGAACTGACACTACCCGCATTCAAAAGCATCTTCAGACATTTAACAAGAATCAACAGAAAGATCATATGAATCCGATGATAATATATTCAACAGAAACCCGTTTTTATATAATATTTAAACACAAACAATTTTAATTTAGATCTAAATGTTTGTGACGATGGTACATTGCTACAAGTGTAGTGTTTTTGGACATTATCCAGCGTCCTGTTTTCTAAAAAAAAATCCTGTTTATTTTTCAAAACACAACGTTTCGGAGACTGGATTGTGTCTCCGTCTTCAGGTAAAACATACTCAGTTGAGTCCAATAGATAGAACTATGGTCCGGAGATAGGGGCTAGCTCTATCTATTGGGTCCAACTGAGAAGATTTTACCTGAGGACAGGGATAGAATCCAGTGTTTTGAAAAATAAACAGGACAGTTTTTAGAAAGTAGGCAGGATAATGGATAATGTCCAACAAATAATTTTATAAATTTTTATATAAACCTATTTTATAATTTATGTGTCTATAAATTATGATTTCACTAAGATGTAAAACAACTGAAAAGTACATGTATTTCACCTTTGAGCCTCTGAAAATAAATCCCGAAGAGTCGAAACATCTAAGTTCATATAAATAACTGAATTATTTACAGCAAACTTATTTACGCTGGGTGTCTTCACCATTCTAAATTTAATTAAAATGTAAGGGCGAAAAAAAAATAAATCTTCATGTTAAAGTAAGTGTTAATTTATGGCCGCGCCATAGCTCAAGCTGTTAGTCGCTGGCTTCCCACCGCGGCGGCCAGGGTTCGATCCCTGGTCTGGTCAAGTGGGATTTGTGGTGGACAAAGTGGCGCTGGGGCAGGTTTTCTCCGAGTACTTCGGTTTCCCTGCCAATCTTCATTCCACGAATTGCTCCACAATCACCCTCACCTATCATCTGGGGCGGGTACAATAGGCCAGAAGTGGCCGCAGTACAAGGGACATAGTCCCACTCCACTACCATTAAAAGAAGTGTTAATTTTTTGTCTTTAGGCACTAATATAATATATACCTGCAAAGACTGAAGAACAAACAATACTCTAGTTAGTAGAACTGATCTGTGTACTATGTTTCGCACCCAGAACCTCCCTAATATTGTGCAGGGTTTGAAGCCTGAGCGCTGGGGGTGAATTGTTTTCCATTTAATTCAATTTAATAGGTTAATCCAGTAATTTCGACTTGCATTGTTTCTCGTTAGAAAGTTGCGCAAGTCCCGCTAATGACCTTGGAAACCTGTTTAAACCAGAGAACAATTATCAAACTTCGAACTTTGTAAGAGCAATTTAAATGGATTTATTTTTAATTGCACCTCTTTTAAATTCTGAGTGAAATAGAGATAACCAGTCTCGCTTTATGACATTTATGTAACACCTGTCATACTTGGACTTGCCTACCCTCCCAGGCGCATTCGGAACCTGTACAGAATGGAGTCAAGCAAGTATGATAACATTAAGGAACAAAATTTACTTATGAGACCTAACGGGACATTTATGTATAACTGCTTTCTTTCTGGGTATGTAGCTGCTTTGCGACGGTCTGATCCCTTGTCCAAGGGTGCTACAGACTCTCTATATGATTCATAGCTATCGGTTGAATTCTGAAATGAGAAGTGGCCAAGGGGCGTAATCTGTTAAGAAGAAGAAGAGTTATGCAACAAGAGGATGGAATCAAGTTGGGTGTGAGTGGCTAGACATGTAGAACTCATATAAGTACATAGAACGCCTTGGTGGGAGAAGAGGAAGAAAAGGCGTACAATTTGAAGGAAGTTATTAACATGGATGTAAAAATGAATAGGATATTTGATTGTGAACTGGATTTATCTGGCTCATGATAGTGACTAGTGAGTCTCTTGTGAACGAGTAATGAACCTTCGGGTTCCAAAACATTGGAAAATTTTGCAGTAGGTGAGCAACTATTAACTTCTCAAGGAGGGCTCAGAACTTTAGTATTAGTTGGCCATAATACAATTCACATTCCTCTCTGTGGGGCAAAGGAGTTTCCAAATAGAGAAAAAAATAGATTTGTGAAGGAGACAGCCAGGCTTACAGATTTATATACAAATAATTTTATCGATCGCTCTAGGGTAAAGTGAAGCGAAGAATATGGTAAAGACAATTTTAATTCTTCTTATTACTATGTACATTAAATAAATTTGAGGCACTATCTTACAATCCGGAAGGATGCGGTTCGATTCCCTTTGATGTCATTGGATTTTTCAATTGACCTACTCCTTCCAGCTGCACTATGACCCTAGGGTCGACTCAGCCTCTGACAGAAATGAAAACCAGGAATCTTCCTAGGGAGTAAAGGACAGCTGGCGGGTAAGTCTGAACTCACCGCCATCTGTAAACCGATTGTGTAAAGAAAATGTGGGAGCCTCGACGTCTCACAACCCTATGGGCCTCCACGGTCTGTTACAGAGATAACTTTACCTTGATATTAAATACAGGGTGTGGGTTAGTATAATGTATATGCTACAGGATAGGCGACGGAAGAATCCGGGTTAGATTCCCAGAAGGGACCTTCAGTATCGCGTCCAGACCAACTGTGGGGCCACTCAACCTCCTACACAATTGGTATCGGGGGTAGGGACGAATTTTACGCCAAGCAAGGAGAAATAACCGGATGGCACGCTGAAATCAGTTTCTTCGGGTTTCTTGGTTGGCTTACTCTTCGACATCGAATCCTGAAATATATTCCCCCGAAACGTCGGGCTGTATCCGAACTACACGGCGTTACAACGCAAAAGACGTACTCTTAAATAAATGTATACTTTAATT